CAAGCTATTCCAGTGGCATGGTCTTTGTCTTATTGGTCAACACAGTCACTGGATATCAGCTCGTGACACTCTTCCACCGCAAAATTATCGCACGTCCTCGTGCGATGGAAGAGGAACTTTTGTCCTTTTGAAATGGCCTTTCTTCTGATGCCAAGTGTGATCGCGTACCGCTACACTGGATCCCAACCTTTATACTTCGAAGTCGGAATCCTCGGCATGTGGCCACCCCCATTACTTCCTTCAAGGAGGTAGAGCATTCATCGGTGTATTGCTCTTGACTTCACAGCAACCCACTAGCAAGTCCATACTTCTACGAACCCCACGAATATGTACGATCATACCAGCATGTCCCTTCGTCGTTTGGCTCTAATACCACTTGTCACGGACGCTAGTTCGGCATTACTCCTTGCTTGTACGGCGTACCGAGGTCCCCTATAAAACCCCGCTGCCAGCCCTCCCATGTTACACACGCCAACTGGTTTCGCCCTGTCATGGGCTCATCAGGGAAGCGACACTAGCCCCCAAACAGTGGTATCTCTAGAACGCTACGGCCCCCTTCATTGTCACGCACTTCAGCGACTAGGCCAGACAGCAACGACTAGCATAACAACGTCCCTTGGGCTAGGACGCCTCCTTTTGAACCCAATGGCAAGCTATTCCAGTGGCATGGTCTTTGTCTTCTTGGTCAACACGGTCACAGGATATCAACCCGTGACATTTGGGTGTTGCTTAAAAGGCAAAAGTTAAATAGGATGGATGGTGATGAAAACTCAGTTTTTTTTTATGGACTGTTATGTAGACGACTTTATCAAATGGTATTTTCAGGACCTTATGGTGGATAACAATCGGCTGACTAAGACTAACCCAAATAAAAAGTACTTTAAATTCTTTTTTTTAAGAAAAGTTTTGGTGGTTTCGAGGGTATTAGACCGAATCAAAGAAGCCTACGATTCACATCTTTTTCACTTAATCAATGTCTAATGCTTGATTCACATTCTAAGGATGTGGATATTAAATATGTTATTTGATAGTGGTAGCAACAAGGCTCTTGGTTTATCTTTTAGATTTGTGAAACGGTTATGCATATTTTGGAGAATGATATATTTGATTTTGTTATGTGGTTTCATGATTCTAAGTACATTAAATTATTACTCTAATATCGAAAGTTTATGCCCTCTAAAATATTACAAAATGTAACATCTTATTTGTAAGGCTAAATTAATTTTTTTGATAAATTAAATAATTGTTTTAAAATATTATTAATTAATAAATAAATTTATTAAAGCACCGAAAGAGAGTGGGGGATCAATTGGAATAAAGTGGGCTTGATGTTTGAAGCCTTGGTGCATTAGTTTTTTATTAGCTTTACAAATGGCGTAGGAGATTTCTTAACGAGTGTTGTGATATGTCTCTGGCTTAACTCCGTCTCTTTGAAGAATGGAATGAAGAGGCTGAGAATCACAGCAAAAGATGCAAGCTCGTCAGTCTTCATCCGGGAGGCAGTCCCGAATCGAAGCTCCGACGATTAAGTCAGTTCGTCTCTTGGAGGAGAAGGGACATTTTTATACCTGTGATCGGGGCAACAAATCCCCAACATTATCTTTTACCTTTTCAGGAGTGGCAGGGGAAGACGACATCTGATTGGTAGATCGTGCTCTGTGAGTAGTTGCTTGCCATTGGTGCAGGGCTGCCAGGAGCGATGTTCTGAGCGATACACTTGTCGCTCTGAGGAGCGAATGGTACTATTTTTTCTTGACACTGACTTTGGCGATTGGGCGCCAAGGAATGAATGTGGGATCGCGAGTGCAAGGGCGATAGCGAGGCCCCGACATTAGGCATACACCAGTCTTTGCCCAAACCGTCTATTAGACTGACGGTTCCATTTTTTTTGATGTATTCTCGGTGGGATACGCTAACAACGAGAAAATTGTTTGTGAGTTTCAGTAATTAAGGCTATCCATGGTTTGGATGAAGTGTCTCTTTGCAATAGTGAAGTTTATTGGTCTTTGGACTTCGACTAAAATCATCCTTCTTTTTATTCGACTTCGTGAAAAAAGAACTGATTTAAAATTATTTTTCTAAAAAAATCATAGGTAGTGTTCTATTCCAAAACCTATTTACAACTTTTGAGATGACAAATGGATTGGTGATATCCTTTTTGCGTCAAAGATTTCACAAATTATTAACTCGGGTAACAACAAAGATTGTTTAGTTATGGATTGATTTGTAAACGATAGTTGGCATTGGGTTTCTTGTAAACAACCAAATGACTGAATCAACCTAATTGAATGAACTATGATTTTTATTACAAAATTTTGAGTCGTCTGATCAACCGAACAAATGAAGTTGAGACTTGGATCTTATTGGGGATTGTGTGTTGAAAATTGTATTGTTTCTCCCGCACTACCCTATCAATGAATTTTTATCTTTAGTTCAACCATGAAGATAACACAATTATATTGATCCTAAATTCTTATGTTTTTATTACCCTAAGTAAACTCTTCTCATGCTCATAATTTAAATTGTATGTGTTGTATGTTGTTCAAATTTTCCTAACATTTACGACATTGACATCGGAAATGATGCATATAATTAAATGGTACAGATAATTGTTATGTTTACATACTAATAATAAAAATATATGAACAGTTACGAGTGTTAACCTCTAGTAACAATAAATCATGTACACCACTTGATGAGTAGACGTTCAACATTAGCATCCATACGTGTGCCAACGCCACCCCACACCAACATGTGTCTGAGGTCTCCTAATGACGACCCTGTCACCTCATGCACTGCTTCGAAGCCTATTCTTCTATAAAACTTCACAAGCTGCAATGCAAGTACCCAATCCATCACATTTCTAAAATTTCAATATTTTATGTATTTTAATTTACGCCAAATTCTATAAAAAAAACAATTATATTTAGTTTTTGTTCGACATCAAAAGATTTTTTTTTCTAGCTTGTTTAAGAAAACACCATAAAGATTTAGCAACAATGCATTGCAAAAAACCATTGGACGAATGATATTTTCTTGTTAAAGTTGCTTTTTTTTTTAATTCATAGTTTGTATGCTTGTAACATAAAAAAAGTTCTTCAAGTAATTACACCAAACAAATTCCAAACTGTAATGATATTTAAAGAATTCTTTTCAAAAAATAAAATAAAATTTTAGTAGTTAAATCCGGAAAATATTTATTCGGTAGTTAAAACTAAAACTTCTCATTTAGTCACTTTCCTTTTTGTATATTATGTACGAGTGAATTATTTTTTGTGTTAAAAAAATATCACTACGACATGTTGTTACCAGTCATAAAGGATATTGTTTTGAACAACAAAAATCAAGTTCACGGGTAAATGGCATACAAAAAAAATGATTGGGTATGAACAAAAGTTAAAGTTCGTTATCCTCATAAGTCATAAGTCATTGTATATGAAAATTTTTCATCTTATTCTTGTTAAAAGGAAAACTCTACTAATTTATAAAATATTTATATTTATAAACTTTTATTTTGTAATTCCAAATCTTCTTCTTATCTTGATCAAAAGTAATTAAGCATTTAAGATGCAATTACAAAATAAAAGTTTATAAATACAAATATTTTACAAATTAGTTGACGTTTTTTAATAAGAACAAAATGAATACATTTTAAACTTAAGATCGATAGTAACTTATGAAGAAGGCAATGAACTTTAACTTTTGTTCTATTGTTCACATCCGATTACTTTTTTTTTGTATACCATTTATTAGTGAACTTGATTTTGGTTTTCAAAAAATACGATTACCGGTCATGACTCGTGAGTGTAAATTCGAACATCAAAATCAAGTTCATTAGTAAATAATATTCAAAAATATGACTAAATGTAAACAAAAATGAAACTTCGTTATCCTCTTAAATCATTATACAAAAATATTTTTTTTCCTTGTTCGATTATAATAAATTTGCATGATGTTATTGTAATTTATAATGGGAAAATACCAGGTATAGACATTATTTGGGGTTAAATTTCAAAATATAGACACAAAAAATTGAATTTTCGGGTATAGACATGGATTCCGCGGAGCTCCTCGCGGAATGGCAAAATCGTAAATAAACGAGGGAATAAAAAAAACTGAAGATCCATTCCGCGGAGCTACAGTGGATTCCGCGGAGCTCCGCGGATGTAGCTCCGAGGAATGGATCTTCAGATTTTTTTTTTTCAAATCGATTCATCGGGGTTTATATTCACTCCCCGACTAATTATTTTCAAGAAAAGATTATGATAATATGAATTTTTCTTGACAATGTTTGGAATTAATGTGAGGTGGAAAAAAATTGGTATTTTAATCGGAGATCTTTACATAAAAGAATCATTGGAGGAGATTTTTTTTCTTTCTGAAGATCCATTCCTCGGAGCTACCTCCGCGGAGCTCCGCGGAATCCACTGTAGCTCCGCGGAATGGATCTTGAGTTTTTCTTTAATTTCCTCAATTATTTACGATTTTGCCATTCCGCGGAGCTACAGTTGATTCCTCGGAGCTCCGCGGAGCTACTTCCGCGGAATTCATGTCTATACCCGGAAATTTAATTTTTTGTGTTTATATTTTGGAATTCAACCCCAAATAATGTCTTTATCCGGTATTTTCCCATTTATAATTGAGTACGTTTTTAGGAGAATATCGCAATTTGAATATGAATTTGATATTATAATAAACAGTTTGATATTATAATAAACAGTTTAAATATGGTCTTTTTTGTGGGTTAAAAGATAAAGAGTATTAGTAGCCGTTAAAAAAAGGTAGAGAGTATGAAACAAAAATCTTGGCATGGTAAAGATCAGAGTCATTAATGGCAAGCAACTCGGTTGTTTTACACCTACAATCATATCCATGTCGGATCATAACTGCTCCAATAAACAACCTGATTCCAAATATGGATCCATCCATACCCAATGTTTCTCGGGTCAAATTAATTGAATCCAAATGAAAAATCTTTCCTTTCTTCCACCATACCCGTATCACCCCTCTTCTTTTCCCAGAACCTTGTTCGTTTCAGAGCTCTTTGTCGTGACTCTGAAGAAGGGTCCTGCTGTTTGCAGCTGGAGTTCAAGGTTTTGTGCTTTCGAGGATTTCAAAATATCAGACATGGTGGATTTTTCGATGATTTTCTTCTCATTTTCTGCAAAATCCACGAGGGTTTTGGGTTTGGTTTGTTGAGATAATGAAATTAGGGTTTTGGATGTTTGGGGTTTGAGGAAATGATTGAAAGAATTTGATGCGATGTGGTGGTAATTCTTAGTTGATTTTGTTGGGTTAAGTAGGAAAGATTTGGGAATTAGAGCCACGTCCATGATGAAGCAAGCAGGATAACGAGGGAATGAAAAAATGGCCACAAATAACCAAAAAAGAGTAAACTACAAAAACTGTCCTTGAGTACTTTATTTGATATTGTGAAAAATGAAAATAGATCTATAAATTTTACTTTTACATTTCCATTTGAACACCTCAATACTTTGATAGTTTGATGTACATATTTCGATTCTTCAGTTCTATATATCAATTAATACAAATTTTATGAGTGACTTGTACACCCCAATTCTATTTCTAGAAAGCACAACGATGATCGTTAGGATTTTGAACACTGGAGAATTATAAATAAAAATAAGTGGCAATCCAAACTTAGAAAAGCTAAAAGTAAAAGAGTTTAATAGTAGTTCTAGTAAAGACAAGGGATGAAAAGAAGCAAATACAACAATTTGTATTTATATGATAATGTGTTAATTTGATATTTGTTTTTCTTTCGTGTGTCGGTATTTTAGGTTGGGTGTCATGAATGATTCTTTTCGATTAGTTAATGTCGTGTGCCACTTAGCTTACTTATGACTAAGTCTGACAAACTTCGCTCTTTTGATGTACTAAAGAACTAGCAAGTAAGAAACTAACGCTAAAAACTTCAATAAGAAAACAAGTATGAATATTACTTCTAACTCTCAATTATACAATGCATCTTTCGATAATCTGTGAAAATGAGTCATCCTCTCTATTTATAAGGACTTTCCACCTCCTCAAGGGAAGTTTACAGGTCTCTTACATCCCCTTACCATTCCCAATCATTCTACCAGGATCTATATCTATTTACAATAATCTATAAAGTTCTAAGCTACTCTTCGATGTCCTAGAAAATTCTATTCTAGGATGGATGTTCTAGGGTCTTCCGGATAGCTCTTGAATCCTCTATAGTCCTCCCCTTTGTTAAGGTCGTTCCATCTTGCTCTAGTCACTTCTATAATACTCTAGTGTCTTCCGGTATCTTATAGTGTGTTCTCAAGTCTTAACGGGTATTCATCATCGTACCAACATTCTTTAGAGAGCCTTGGAAGCTTCCAAAAACTTGGTTCGGTGACATGGGGGAGTAGTGATGGTGGTGCCAAGATCCACCTAGAGTGGAGCCACTTTTACTAGGGCAAGGGTTCTAAGGGAGGGAGAGAAATGGTCGGAAAAAAAGGAAGAGAGAAACTCGGTAATGGAGTGTCATGGGAGGCAGCAAATCTCGGCATGTCGAGTACCCGAGGTTGTGTGTGTCGAGCCATATTAACATACTGAGGAGCAATGATGAACCCACTATTCTTACATTTGGTTCAACTAGTTCAAGGGGTGGAACTTGCAATCTTCTTGCAAAGCCACATAGGCATTATTCTTTTGAAAGATTTACAAATCAACACGTCATCACAATTTTTTATATTCTAATGTAAAATAATTGTCGTATTTATTTCAATATTAGATTAAACTTTTTAATTTACTTTATTATATATATTAAGTAACTACTATATAAATATATTGAAATTATTTATTTATATTTTAATAGTATTTTTTTTAGTTATTGACAAAATGATCATATTAGGATTTTCATATTACTATATCACTGTAAATTTTTTAACTTTAAGAAAATAACCAACAACCTAAAAAATATACATTTGTGAGCTTGTATGTATGTTGATCCTGGCGTATAGTTCATTACATTAAACTTTTCAAGTTATAATTTATTTTTCATAGACAACATTTAGAAAACATGCAACGTCCCCACCCAACAACGCTCAATAATTGTTTAGGAGAAACTATTTAATTTCCTTGTGAGTATTGATGTTATGTTTGTCTCCTACGTAAAGTTTAACGATGTTCAGTGAAGTCGTAATTTCTACATGCAAAAGTCTTGCAAAGGCCTCTATTTCCAACCATTTAAGGGGTTGAGGATCATATCTTTGCGTCTTTGCCTAAATTTTGCATTATAGTTGTTGGAGTCCTTCGATTTCTTGGCAATCTTTATGATCCTCATTCGACTGTGTTTGCATACAACAAAAACACATGTTCTATGATGAATGTTATTCCTAAACTGAGATTGATTGGTGGGGCTTCTTTACCCTTGTCTTCATTAATCCATGTGTCTATGATGAATGTTGTAACATCCCAAAAATTCAACAAACTTAAAACTTTTCAAAACAACCATTTTACTAATAGAAGTGTTACAAAACCATTGCTTTTTAAAACATTATTTAAAATCAGAGTCTCCCAAGATCAAATCAGTCGAAAACCAATGATGTGTACGGTCACGCCTTCGTCTTGTCAAGGTCCACTGAAGTACCTGAAACCATAAACCAAAACTATAAGCACGAAGCTTAGTGAGTTTCCCCAAACTACCACCACACAAACAGATAACATATACAAACAAGCATGCTCAAATACTCATGCCTATCCTAATCAGCCTCGGGCTGGAATACCAGGCATGTCAACGATAGGCCCAGTCATCCTCGGGATGGAATACCCTCGTATCATAAGCATGTTGGTCCAATCAACCATCGGGTTGGAATACCTAAGGTCTATTTACTGATGCACAAAGCAGCCCAGCCTCACTATATACCATACAATCATGTCGGGTATAATCAACCATCGAGTTGGAATACCCCAGGCCCAATCAACCATCAGGTTGGAATGTCCCCGGTTTGTTGGCTCACGCACATAGCAGTAAAACCTCAACCACCAACCAACATATAACCAGTCAACAGACAATCGGGCAGATCTACATATCACTAAGCATAACATCATCCGATCGACCAGTATACCGATCTAACAGATCACTACAACACAATAACATACTATCACATAACATGATATCTAATCCAATGGGCCGGCTTTGGTGCCTTCGACCCAAAAGTACAGTAAGGAAAACTCACCTCTTGTTCTGATCCATAGTTGATGAGGTCCCGACTCCGACTCTCAGCTCCAACCGAAACCTATCCATCCAAGTGACCGATCACAACCAAAATCCCAAAATACCCATGAGATCAAACTTGGTCAAAGTCCATAAGTCAACTGAGTCGACCCATCCGAGTCAACCCAACCGAGTCTAATCGACCGAGTCAACCCAGGGTGCGTACGCAGGGCGTACTCCGAAGGTACGTTGGGCGTAAACGCAGCCTCGCAGTTGACCACCACCGGGGTGGTTGACCTCGTACGCAGGGCGTACTCTGAGTACGTGGTGCGTACCTTCGTAAGTCTAAAATTTCCAATAAGAGCTTAATGGCTTAAGCTCTTACGTCCAAACTTCAGATCCATGGCTAAAATACTCTTAGGAGTTATAAAGTCTCCAACTTTATGACCTAGCATGTCCAATAAGTGCTTAACACAAGGTCTTATTCCATTAAGACCTTCTAAATGATGGATGAAGCAAAACTAACCATTTAGAACCTTTTTTATGACTTAAGACCCCTCCTACGGTCTGAAAGGACAACTCAAAGGTCAAGAACATGCCATATTCAAGATCTAGCATTTTGGGACCAAAAAGCTCCATAAAGACATCCAAAACTAGATCTATATGCTAGAGGGATAAAATTGCAAGCTTTATACCCTAGAATGGTTGCAAATGATGTAGAAATCCCAGATCCAAGTGTTCCACTCCTTCAAGATGATCTTGGCTTCCTTCCTTCTTCTTCTAAGGCACCAAAAACACACTTCCAAGCTTGAAAAGGCTCCTCAAGGTGAAATTAGGGTTGCAAAAACGTATGAGAGGGATGGAGGCAACTAAGGTGGATGAAATGAGGCCATAAGAGTGCTTAAATATGAGACACACCCTCAAAATTAGGGTTTCCTTATCTGGAAAGTACGCCCACCGTACATTGATGTACGCCCAACGTACTAGGGCGCACCCTAGTATGCTCAGCATACACCACGTACGCATGGCGTATTCTGAAGGCCAAAATTACAAAAATGTCATTAGGGCTCCTTTGCACTCTTTCTTGAACTTAGGGACCAAAATACAATACATATCAATTTAAGTATAAAAAATGGAAGTACTTCAAAACCAGATGTTACAATTCTCCCCCACTTGAATTAGACTTCGTCCACGAAGTCTACTGCAGTAACTAACCCAGGGTAGTGTTTCCACATCTCCACCTCGGGTCACTCAGACGGTCCTCCCCCAGGACCCGATCCGAACTTACAAGTCGACTCATTCAGGCGGCTGCCTACCCATACCATCTTTGACTTGCTAACTTTCATTATTGGAGAAAACCATCACCACCTTCATAAAACTCGTACATCCACTACCTCAGTTGATTCTTAAGCAAGTACAACCACCTCGGAATGTAGTGTTGGATTAGTGTCTAAGTCCATAACTATAATTGGTATGTACTTGACCCGATTGGCATGGTCCATTTGGGTTGCATGGCATCGGAACAATTTGGATAGATTTTTGTGAGAAAAAAGGATAATTATGATTTGTTAATATATTATAAGTTCTAATATATTAATATGAAATCATATTATTTAATTAGTATTGATCAAGAATCAATTTGGAATTAATATTGTGATCAAAAGGAGACTAATTAAATATATGGGGATTGATTGTGTAAATCATTCATTCTTATATATGTGGGCTTATGATCCATAGTTCTTCATGTTGGGCTAAACCCATGGAGTAACCCATGGATACTCCATGGAGGTTTTAACCCATGGAGCATGGAGAATATGGAAAGACATGAGTTACATGGTGTAACCCTAATAGCCACCATATATAAGGACCCCATGGCTCAAGAAATTGGCCCTAGTGTGTGTACACATAAGGGCTAGCCAATTTGAGCATAGGAACCTTTTCTCTCAAGTTATTCCAAGATGTTGGTGATGTTGTGTGAACCATTTGAGGTGTCACACTTGAGGCACTAGGCTCTTAAGCTCCATGGAATCAAGCTACAACAAAGAGGTATGTAATTCTACTAGAATTTATATTATATGTTCTTCATAATATGCTAGTTAGAACAATACCTTGGAAAAATTGATATTTGCATGCATAATAGAGAAA